GCAGGGAGGGGCACGTCGGCTGCGAGCGCCACCCGCAGCGCGTCCGCATCCGCGGGCCAGGGATACACCGCGAAGTGGTGTAGCACATCGAGCTTCGATATCTGCTCCTCCCCCTTCGCCTCCTCCCGCGCATCTGCGCTGCGCACCAGTCTCGCGATACACTCTGTCCACGCGGCACACGCCGCCTTGCACACCGCACTCGGGTGCGTCGTCGCGCTCGACCTCCGCGCATACGCCGCCGCCTCCGCGGGGTCGCGGGAGTACGCCAACCCCACAGGCAGCACGCGCATGAGAGAACCGTTCCCGCCGAAGCCGTCCCCGCGCAGATCGCGCGCAATGCGTGCGAGCGCGCTCTTTGCTGTTGTGCGGCGTTTCTCCTTCTCTTTCTCCTTCGCTGCTGGCAATAACCGCCGTGTCTCGGCCGGGGATAACGCTCTGGAAGCTTTGAGAGCGTCTTTGTAGATCCCGAGCGCGCGGCGGGTGGTGCTGCCGATGTCGAAGCAGCGCCCGATGGCGCTGAGGATGCCGTTTTGGTACCAGCGTAAGTACGCTTCGAGCTGGTCGGCTTCGTCGAAGCCCCCTCTTATCCCTTCTGCCTGTTGTGAGGACGACCCGCTGTACGTTCCCAACGACCGCGCAAGCGCCAGCATCATACTCGTATCGTCCGTCCACACGCCCGCCCCAAGTGAAAAGTTCCCGTTCGGCTTCATAAGTGAGATGAAGGAGAAGGAGAACCGCGGCTTGAACTCGGCGGGTGCACCGAGCGCGTCGCAGAGCGCGGTCGCCAGGAGGGCGAGGCGGATCTTGGTGGACGCAGGGGCGGGGACGAGGCGTTGGGTGTGCAGCGGTGCGGAGGTTGGGGAAGCCATTGTGTGAAGGACGAAGGCGTAGAAGCATGTCATATGGATCGTGATCGATAGGCGCAGCACAGCATTAGTCTCCCTGAGGCAGAGTAGATAGGTTCAACTTTTGTACCTCAAGATATCTATCTGACGTCTGCTTTCTGACGCGTCATCACAAAATTCGGGAAATCCTGCCGAGATCTGGTGATCGGCAACAGCCGAGCTGTTGTTTACAAGGGCTGACAAAGGCTTCACCAGGGCTTGCAACACTTTCGCCAGGCTGGTAGTGCAATTACCAGGCTGTTGTGGGGTTGCAACCCGCGTAACGGACGGGTGTTACCTTCCAAGTACTGACATGATGGCGAGCCAAAATAGTATAATATCTGTTCCTTTCAAGTACCCGACAAATGTTATGAATTCTCGGCCTGTGGGCATGCGACGCCATATAATCCAAATATAATGGTTCCATTGATTCAGGCTTCAAGTAACATATTCACTAGTATTATACCGTTTTCGCAGAACCCTTTTGAAGAAGAAGCAAGATTTTAGTGCAAGCACGACTAAAAATATGGATCTGCTACCGATTTTTTATTGGCTCGATCAGTTGGCTGAACTGCTTTCTGAAAGCAGTACATACTTCAATGTTATACACTAAGTACTGAGTACTTGATAGTGAACATGTGCTTCGGCGGCATCGCTCGCCGGATCGATGCAATTGAACCTCCTCCCAAAAACTCAAAGATATTACAGTGATACACTTACCAAGTGCCTAGTAGTCCAGAAAATCGACATATTTCCTCGCTGGCAAGTCGTAATATACAGGCTTGATACAGGCTCGAGTTGAACTCAAATCAGCCAAGTAAAATTTAAACTCCGCCACCACGTGTGCGATCAATTGCGTGCTTGTTTTGTGACAAACATGTTGGTTTTGATGGGCTTTTCTGCTGTCGTCTTGCTCTTCCCACCACCACCATCTCTCCGCCACCGAGCCCAATGCTCCCACTTGCTACACCCTCCTCAAGCCAACTGCCCCGCCCAACTCCCTCAAGACCTTACGAGCTCCGGACTGGCCTTCGTTCTCTATGCTGTCACGCCGAGCAGTCAAGTCTCGCGCCTTTTCAGTCCGCAACACCTTCAAGCCTCGAGCCTCAAGTCTCCAACTGTCAAGCTCTTTCCGTGACCTTCGTCATCAAGCTACTGCATGCGGCTCCACGTTGTCCTCGAACCCAACTCTCAAGCTTTTGCACGCGCAAGGCCTTCAAGAAGTCAAGACATTTGAGCAACGAAGAAACACTCAAGTCCTTCAAGCCGTCAAGTCTCAAGCTTCTCAACCTCAAGTCCTCAAGCCTCCCTCAAGCTCCTGCACATTTCAAGACTCCGCTGCTCGGCAACAACGCTCCGCCTTTCCGCGCCGTTTTGTCTGCTACGTACCGTATCGTATTCTATGTGAATTTAATTCGTGCTTTGTTCTTATCATCTCTTGTGTGCATTATTCAAAAATTGAGGAATTCATGGGACTGCTGTGGTGGCCTTCCACACGTATCCCAGGACTTATAATCACTACCAGGGCTTGGAAGGTGAACCAGAAAGGTGAACTTTGCAAGATTAATTATCCGTCTCCAAGCCCCGGTGTAGCGTCACCAGGCAGGTAGTGGTTTACAGTGGATTGTGTCAGATCTGATGTTTGTAAGGGTTTATCTGACCTTGGAGTGATCTCCCGAATTTCGTGATGGTGACCCTTAACGGTTGATTGTTTTCAAACTCCGCTCGATTTCCCCTCTTAGCAGGGTTTTAAATTTGCTCAAAGATGTTTCCTCGGGCTCTCTATGAATATGTTTGTGAGGGCCTCAATCTCCTGCATGAGCACGCATACAACATGTATCAACTTGTGGGCCAAAACCCTGTCCTCAGAAACCTCCTTAAAGGTCTGAAATTGTCCAATCTTGTTTTCAGAACGATTTGGCCTGCTTCCACTCAGTAATCGGGCTACGGGCTAATTAATATATGCGGCCATATTTACAACAAACGAGTCCTGATGGCTTTGGACTCCAAAATTTGGGTCCTATATTTTCTAATGGGTCTCTGGGGCATACTCTGTTCTCCAAATAGCTCAAAAGCCAGTAGTACGTGCACCAAACAGCGAAGAATATCTCTACGAACGTTTCCGGTGAATAGTGTCGTTCAAAGTTGTCCTGTTTGGCTCCTGATTGCTTCCTATTCGCGTTCCTACTCTTCTTCCTGATTGCAAGTAGGAGAGCAAAAAGGAAGTGAAAAAGGGCCCTTTTTGCATTCAGGAGCACTTGAGGCTCCTTTTTGAAAACTCTCCTTGTTTGGTTTTCCTACTTGCGCCCCTACTTGCACATTTCAAACTCCGCTCGGCGGCGATCAAACCCGCTCTTCACACTTGCCACGTCGCCGTCACCCCATCGCCGCCGCCGTCTCATCTTACTTACCTCGCTCCTCGTCGGCGCCTTTCACCATGATACTCCGGGTCCCTCACTATGCATCTTGCATCGACACCCTAACACCAGCTCCAATAATCACGGCGCGCGCACATCTGCTCATGCAGGACGGAGGAATGTGTTATCGCTGCGGGGCACGTTGTTGGATGGGTGCACTCGCGCTCTTATGCCGTAGGCAGCAGGTACTGGAAACACAAGCAGTGAGCTATGACTCTCTATGCACAATTCTTTAGTTTTTTTTTGTGGGTACCACAATGAATATACAATGTTTAGTACATAGTGTGGTCCATAGAGTGCAACAGCATATATATAGGAGTGCGTGGACGTAGTAGCCGGAGCGGGCACGCCATGGCGCACAGATGACACCTCGGAGTTTCCCCCCACTGAGCGGACTTCGAAGACAACTCAGCCGAGCCCTGCCGGGATGCGCTAGAGTAGGAAAAAAGTAGGAGAACCCTTCCTATTCACTTCCTAGTGCAAAAAATACGGGGGGGGGGGTTCAAACCTGGCCCTATTTGCTTCCTATTTGTTTTCTTGTTTGCTCCCTTTTACGCCAATTTACTGCCAAAATGGCAAAAAGGGAGTAAATAGGGACGCAAACAGGGAACCAAATAGGGCCAGGTTTGAACGACACTAATGACTATCGTATTTATGCTGGATCTTTCCTGCTAGACCGTCTTGAGGCTCTCAGGACAATTATTTTATTGATTACTTTGATTTTTCTGAGTACCGCTTCAAATTGATCTGTAAAATCCCAATTTGATCCCAGATGCACTATAGCCACTAAATATGTTGTATATTGTCTTCTTTTGCTCATTTGACACGCGAATACGGTGTGCCAACGCGTCGAATTGACGTGTCAATGGGACAAATGTCAACCACACGTGATGAAAGCGGACTTTGAAAATGACCAACCGTTAAGACAGGCCCGGGAAAAAGCAGACGTCAGATACACTGCGGTGGGTCATGCGTTTTTGGAAAGCTTTTTGCCACCCCCAAAAGTGTTTCCCCTTTGGGGTACTTTTAGTGCGAAACGAAAATGGGGCAAACATTGTACTTGTTTATGGCCCTCTTTGTGTTCCGAACATGAGCCAGAAATTCCTGATTTTTGGAGTCGAAAGCCTAGCCGAACAGGAGTAAGTTTTCTTTGTTTGTTTGGATTGAAAACAGAGGTTATGTTTGGCAAAAAGAACACTTGTTTGGGAAATAAACTGAAGATATTTTTGGAAGCCAAAATGGAGCACGAAAAAAAAGTCTTTTTTGGCCTACGCCGAAAACAGGTGGTTTTTGTTCTCCTAAAAACATTGAAGAAAATTCCAGGAAAAATAATATATTTTTGGCTGGGTTTTGGTTGCCCAAACAGACAGCGCCGGCTGAGCGACCAAGCGACTCCCCTGCAGCAAAACCCAGCCAAAAATAGACGAGCTTACCTCGCAACCCGAATACATGCTGGTCGGGTAAAAGAAAAAAACTGCCTCACAACCGAATATGTAGTGTCTTCGGGTGCCTTCAAACCACCGGCTCTCCCGTGGCTACATGTCGAACTTGCAGGCAGTGGGAGACTGGGAATGAGTTGCATATATTACTCCATGAAGACGATATGAGCTTACCTTGTACCCTGACCATGTCCTTTTAAAATTCTGTTTGCTGAGAGGAAAAATGCTAAAAAGAAAAAAATTGTCCCACCATCGGCAAATGTCTTCGGGTGGATTCAAACCACCTTCCCTCCCGTGGCTATTTTGGCTCACCTAGCAGGTGGGAGTGAGTTACATTACTCCACGAAGACGATATGCGCTTATCTTGTACCTCGAATGCACCACATACACCTCACCCACAACAATGTTTTGGGCTGGGCAGGGGAAGGGAAGAAAAAAAGTTCTTCCCACCGAGTAATGTCTTCGGGAGGGTTCGAACCACCGACTCCCGTGACTGCTTTCAACATGATCCACCTAGCAGGTGGGAGTGAGTTGCACTACCCCACGAAGACGATATCGGCTTAGCTCGTACCCTGCATATATTCATTTCTTTTCTCGCTGAAACAGAAGGTGCTACTGTTTTCGGGTGGCTTCTCGTTCGAATGTTTTTGACTGGGTCCTAGGCGACTGCTTTTGCATGGCCTCTACTTTGAACCACTGGGTCGGGTCCCAAAAAAAAAGAAGCTGGTGAAACGGATGAATGTCTTTAGGTGGATTCGAACCACCAACTCTCCCGTGGCCGTATTTGGTGTCCATCAGCAGGTAGGAGTGAGTTGTAATAACTACTCCACGAAGACGATATGAGCTTACTTGGCAACCAGCAAATGTCTTCGGGTGGAATCGAACCACCGACTCTCCCGCTATGACAAGAAAACCGGGGAACCACGGTATGAACTTACCTCTAGAGGAAAGGGTGCATTCCTCTAGATCAAAAAGAAGTGATGCACCACCCGAGCCCGGGCCCGGATCGACCTGGATTAGATTAGATATGATGCTCATGACTCATGAATTACGCCAAACAACCAGCGCGCATCACTAGGAGGGACGGGGAGGAACTACGAAAAAAGACCAAGAACTCACAATGAACGGCTACTGAAGCGGGTGAGGGCGGCAGATGCGGGGGGGGGGTGCGTTTCATTGCTGTGACGGCGACGCGCTGGGTGCGGCAAGCACGAGGCCGGGTCGAGAGTGGGCATTGGAATGCGGGATGGGGCGCTACCTCTGGAGCTGGCGTATGCAGAAGGTAAAGGCCGGAATGTGTGTGATGGATTGTCTTGGGGCGCCGCCTTGTACTCGCTAGGTTGGGCGGTGCAGCCGCGTCTCAGGCTGGCTGGGCGTTGCGGGGCGCATAAGGCGAAGATCTAGAGCGGTTTGTGGAGAGGAAAGTCCAGGAGACTTAGAGATTCGATAGATATCGAGCGCTTTGACCGACTGTAGTGAGTCGGATTTGTTTGTGTGATGAGTGCTGCGGCCGTTGCCGGTATCAGTGCGAGCGAGCTACGAGTTAGAACCACTAAAGCGTCTGTCCCCTGAGAGACTATGTATCAGTCTGGAATTGCGACCACAACGTGCAATCAAAGACGTGCGCCGCTTACTCAGTACTCAGTTATGGTGCACGTCAACCTCTGGTAGGCTCCTACTCCTGTCATCCGAGTCGCCGACAGCACGAGTACTTCCTTTTTTGACTTTTTGCCGGGCTACCTTTCTCATTCCTTCAAGCCGTATCTCACCAATCTCACGCTGCGAGTCATTCCTTAGCTAATGGCTCGCTGGCTATTTCTCCCGACTTCCACAGCCGCTAATAGGCAACAACATCTTATGAACGGCCCCAATGGCACTCTCACTTGGATGCGCAGCTACCTTCCCTAGATCATTATCTCGAAATTGCATAACCGAATGTAGGGCAGCTCGCATTATTTTTTGCTCCGTACTGAATATTTCACCAATATCTACTCAAGGCTGAGAGGAATTCAAGTTAATATTCATCACAGCGTAGTTCCTTTATCTTTCTCAGTTTATTCAATACTAAAATCCATGCGCGTACGTATCAAGTACGTATACAGGTTCAAACGAGTGATAGTCGTCGCGCTGTCGCGTTTGAGTCCGCGCCATCTTCGTCACTTAGTTACTTCGCTTAGCGCTGTGAAAGTTCGTGAGTTTGATCGCATTCCGTGAAAGTTCGTGACTTCAGCTGGATTTAGTGGAACTTTGTCACTTCCTCTGTACACCGTGAAAGCTCGTAACTTAATATGTATCAATGATCTAGCTGATGCCAACTGTTCTGTATCTACCTGTAACCCCACTTCGAGCAGTTAGGGCAAGGGCAGCGTGTGGGTATTCACTGGTTAGAGTTTGGGTTAGAGTTAGGGGTTAGAGGTTAGGGATAGGGTGTTATGGTTAAAGGACAAAAATTTCCGCAGGAACGAGGCTTTAGTGTGCCAACCTGAGATGCCCCGGTTCGGAGGACCCCCCGAGCAAAGCGAGGGAGGGGAGGGGCATCAAATGGTTGGCCCTCTTCACGCAAATGAAGGAAAACTTTTGTGATGTGGCCATCATCGCATCAAAATAACGCTGATGGCCACTCTGGCGGCTTGATGGCTCTGCCTCAAATCTGATTTAATGGAAGTGACGAGGTTTCCCGGAAATTACTTCAAATGACAAACTTTCACGCTTTCCCATCAAACTCACGAAGTTTCCCATTCCTAAGCGAAGTAACTAAGTGACGAGGATGGGTACGACTCGTCGCGTTTCTTAATCGTTCAAGCTCAAGCTTACCGCGGCACAGCGGTGTTCGACTCCCCACATCTGCTGCTCAGCTTTCAAGTTTTTCTGCTCATCGTTGAAAATTCGTACAGCTTCAAATCGGTTGGAATGTACGGCTGCCTCTTCTGGTCACCACGAAATAGCTGCCGAATCTCCGGGTTCGACTCCTGTCTCCACGCGCACCTGTGCCTTGTTTAAATTTTGTTTCGGCACTGAAGATCTCAAGATTATATTTAGATAGGTGGGGGATTCGGCGGGAAGACGCGCCCACGTCCCCGCTCATCATTCCCCTAGCTTTCAAACTCGTTTTAAATTCAAACGTACCTTCGACTCGGAACTGGGCTATCTTATAATTACCGTGGCTCCACGGACTTGCTCGCCATTATCAAAAGAAATCTCTTCCTTTGTTCGAATCCAACGTGTCTCACTCCATGGGATTCGACAATCTTCTCCTCCTCGCCTCGAAGAAACAAAATATAGACAGCAAAATTGGGATGTGCAAATAACCAGTCCCAAGAGAAATATATTATTCCTCGTTCGAATCGGGTCCCAGCTGCTGAGTCTTGGAACTTTTCTCTTGTTCCTACGTTACTGCGTTCCAGACTCGCCGTCCCTGCTCCGCCATGTTTCTGCGATCAGTCTCTTCTTTGAGCCCTACCTGCGCCAATTCAAAGTCTATCTGCACGGGACTCACGATGTTCGCCCTCACGGAAATATTCCGTTCATCTTTGATCATTCACCAACGGCGCGGATACTCGGCGGGGCTTTCAAGGTTGCTATCGAAAAGCCATGCAGAGTGCAAGATCTGGACGTGATGATTGATCACTTCAAGACTTGCGTGTACGAACATCTCGCACCATCGACTCTGGAGTCCCCACCAGCAACCCGCTCCTGATTATATCTAATCGGCTCTCCCTTCCTTTCTGCTGTAATATTCCGGGCTCGACGATGACCTGCGCTATTCTCGGCGACGCACCTGCGGATTTTTCGGCTTTTTGTTTTTTTTTAGATCAATTTGTTTCACAGGCAAAATCTCGCTCACGGATGGCATATACTGATTTAGATAAGGCATGGATAGGACGTGCGGCGCGCGCGCGCTGCGCCGCCGTGCTCGCTCAAGTAATCTCCGCAGCACAGCGGAGCCCGACTCCCCGCGTGACCAATGAAGTGCGTTTTTCCGGCCCCGAATTATGTATGTATTTACGCCCTCCAAAGTCCGTGCATCGAAACTAAAATTGCAGCAAGATATCCCGGTTCAAAAGGTCGGTAATCCATCGGACTTTGTCTTGGACGGCACGGCCTCAGATGCAGCAAAACGGGGGTACCCGTCGTGGTTCGACTCCCCGCGTCCGGATCACACTTTTTTTTTTCGCCGGAGACATATTCTTAAAGGTGTCTGCCAGTATGTAACTTTTCAGACGATTCATGGCTGCCGCCCTTATTCAAATTGCCACCAGCGGACGGGATTCGATTCCCGCATCTGAATGAGCGGTGCGGCAAATTTCTTTGTATTTTCTTTTCATTTCTTTCTGGATGATCCTTCTCATCGAAAGCGGGGCAAGTACTATTCTACTTAGCGTATTGGATACTAGCCTTTCCTAGGTGCCGAATCCCACGGACATTCTCTACAGAGCGCCGGGTTGAACTCCCCGCATCGGTGTATTTACTCCGCCGGTTGCTTTGCCTTCATCTCGGCGACGAAATCGCACCGACCCGTGCAGGTCCCAAAGGCAAGTATTGCATCGAACGTGGTAAGTACTTACGTCGCACACTTGTACCGCTTATACATGCTCAAATAATCTCTGCACATCAGGGTTCGACTCCCCGAGTCCTTTCTTTTCTGACGCATAATATAACTGATAGAAAGCTGCGCTGGTTAATTGTCTATGGGGATTGAACGTTCACCTACTCAGGCAGGTTCTGGCCACAGATGTAAACAAGCATTTCCACACACAAAACTGTCTTGAATAAGGCTCAGAATGGGTGGTAACACAGTGGTACTGGCTGAGCCATGATCCTAATATGATATCAATAGTTCCCGACCAAAAAAATTTTGTGCCTGCGTGAAGAGCGGGGAAGAAATAATATAACCCAGATAAGATTGGTGAGCCACTTTCGTTGCGGTGTTCATTTGGATATGAGGCCAAACGAAGGCCCGCTGCCTGATATATTTTGTCAGCCACCCGCCGCCCGTACATTCCCGCCACCCGCCACCCGCCGCCCCGTTCGCCATCAAAGAGCGCAGTCGGCGCGTGAGGCAGGTGCCCTTCCGGGTGATCCTCTCTTGAACAGCCTCAAATGTTAAGGAGAAAGGCACGGTACATCGAGTATTTCCTTGCGCGGATGGGGGGACTTCACATTCAAAGTCCGACAGGGCCCCGGCAATTACAGTCAATCCACGGTCCTTGCAAAATCACTGCTCCTTGCAAAATATTTTTTTTCTGAGGCAACCACAGCATATTTTGCTTGAACATTAATGGTAGACTTGCAGGTACGGTACTGGCGGATATTCCTGTTTTTTTCATCGCAGCTATTCTGACATTCCCGT